AGTTATTTTGTCGTTGAACAGAAAAATTGTTTCTGTCGCTGATCACTACCGCGCTGTGAGTTGTTCTGTTTCTCTGTGAATTCAAAATTATTTCTTCCCGGGTTTCTTTCGCTTATCGCTTCGCTCCGAGGTACAAGAGTTGTTTTGTCGCTGTATCAGTATTTACAAATAGTTCTGTTGCTACATTCCCATGATCGCCATGCTTCTAGTTGTTTAATCGCTGTGCCGGCATTCAAAATNATGAACACGAATAAAACAATGCTAAAAATGCTAAAAAACTATATATAAAAAACAAAAAAACAGTACAATAAAATATTTCCACGCCAAGATTCACGTAAAAAGAGAAATTGAGTCTTTTCAGTGTACAGTTCATTACTGAATAGCATCTCAAAAAGTGAAAAATCAAGCCTCGATTTACATTTCATCAAAATAGAGAATTGATTGTCTTCTACGGCAGACTTCGTTAGTCCATATTCCCATTTGTGCCTGCCCATTGATGGGTATTTGTGTTCGCTGATGCATTGGTGTAAATGTCGTGTTGTACGACCGACATAATCCGCGTCGCACAGATTGCATTTGACTTTATAGACTGCATATTTATTCGTAACTGTAGGGAGCTTCTTCTGATTCGGAGCGAAGACTTTACCAACCTCTTTGCTGTTTAAAACAGGTTTGATGTGGACACCTATGTGCTATGTTCGCGCTGAGATTCTGCATTTCCTTTCGGCTGAATTAGCTGATTGCTGATCTGTAATGGTTTGATTTGCCGAAATCTCGTAGTTTTGATCGTTTATCGTAATCCTTTTCTTCAAAAATTCGTTTTTCTTTCAGTAAAAATAGATAATATAGACTCTAGATATAACCGTAGACCGTTTTAAGCAATGTTTGGAATTTTCGGCATGTATTCTGAATAAATCAACCGAGTGTTTCATAACATTTCTGCAAGAAAGCATTTTTCGCGTAAAGGTAGTGATCTGAAGCGCTCCTGATGGCGGTTCGTCTGAATTTTCTTCTTTCTTTCGCCGCGTTTAAGCGCGAAGTTCAGCCGTCTTGCTATTTTCTATGGAAGTGTTAACTTTCTAGTATAGGGTGGAAGAAGTATTAATATTCTCAAAGAAAAGATGTTTCATAAAGGTGCTCTGAGCGTGCTTGTTTTCATGTTCGCCCGTGACGTCTCCCAAGACTACACTGGGGTATATGAAGGAGTGCATTGCTTGATTTGTTTAGCAAGTATGAGACTATACTCGGAGGTGCTTCCGAATTCTTTTTCGTTTTAGTCACGGTAACGATATGGCCTTAAGTCCAGGAACTTCTAAGAACCAGAATAGTTCGGAGGCATGGGACGTTTTCGAGCGACTCAAATCCTACCATGACCAGAAGATCGAAAGCCTTACGTCAGGTTTGGTCTCACATAGAAACCCAGCGGAACTTAGAAGGTAGGAAGAGCGGCCGAGACTGAAACGCTGAAATTCGAAGCCCGAAAACCACGAAGATGCAGATCTCTTGGGTGCAGGTGACGTTGAGAAAGCCAGTGCGGAGATCGACGAGTTTCTGTCATCGTCAAAACATTACAAAGTTTGCTGACAAGAGCGTCACATTTTAAAACCCAGGGTATAAGAAGGCAATTTATATACTTCAGGCCTTTGAGGACTCAGCTATACCGGGTGTAGATGATTATAAATTAAAAGAAATCACTTGTGGCTTTATAGAGATTGATTTGGTCAGTTTTAGAGCTCATAGCCTAAGATCCGGTGGCCAGTACAACTTTTAAAGCCAAAAATCTGGTAAAGTCCGGTGCTTCTACGGCTGCTGAAAATGAGAAAGTGCAAAGAATATCTGTGATAATGATTTTCTAGAAAGTAGGTTACAATTGACTAGTTTTTTCCCACCTTTGGTGTGTGCATGCGAGAGATGTAACTTTTTGCCTTTCCTTATCCGATTTTAGCTTTATTTTTGTAACCAAATTACTTGAATTGTATTGCTCAAATGGAATTAAAGCATCTTCGAGCAAATGCGGGGAGACGCGCGTTTGTTTGTTACGCTACCCCCATTGGCGGGAAGGAGCCATGAAACACGCAAATGTCTCGAAGGAACGATGTCTCTTAGATTGGCCGTGTTCTATCTATTCCCATCAATAAGCTGCCACGTATCCAGCGTGGTTGCCCTGATGACGTAATGAATATCACACCCGACTAGTATGTGGGGAGACGCGGGGTCGGAGCCTGTTCGGGACATGAAGTTTTTCTTTTATTTCGGTGACGTGTGTCGAAAGCCGCTTGTAAGTTGTTAACGTCTTTCAAACATTGAAAAATATATACAAAACAAACAAATTAGCGCAAAACAGACGAAAACAAAAACACCCTGCAAATTGTGTTTGAAACCATTTAGAAATATACTTTTTAGTGTAGCTAAACTTACTATAATAATAGTTTTGAAGCAATATTTTCTACATTATCTTGCCTGCAGGAATGGCCACTTTCCAGTAAAGGTCGATCTTTACTCTCATTATGGACAAGATATACTTCAGCAATATGAAAACTCTTTTCACGCTATTAATGTTTGTGTGGCATGAAAAGGGCAGGACCATCGCCACACAAGGTGAGTCAAGGGAATATTTTCCTCATGAATTGGTTTATAGGACTGTTCTTACTTCCTCGGAGAACTGAATGGAGACACGGTTAAGGATAAGAGTCTGGAAGGAGTGAAAGTAAATTATAAAGCATTGGACGGCACCCATAAAAAAATATAATTCAGGGTTTATTTCTGTGTCTGCTGCATTTATAATGCATGTAGACGCTATGATAAGCTGTAGAACGCGCTACTACTACTTCATATACGACAAGATCTCGAATTCACTCTTCATGTTTGGCTGCAGATTCCATTACGTGCCATGACGCATGAGTATTTTCGGCCTGTACTTCTTTCGGGTGGAAAATTCGCAATTCGTTCCTCAGGGGAATATTCGAACTAATTGGTACCAGAAAAGGAAAAAGGAAACAGCTCGTGACAAACGACCAACCCGGAACCAATCCAATACAAGAAAAAGACAACGTGAAATCCGTCAACAACCGTGTGCTTTCGAAGAAGGAAAACTGCAAAGATCGTTATATGTGACATCTCGTTTTATGTGTATAAGCTGGTTTCGGGATGTTCATTACTTGCTAGGTGATTGATCGTTTTTGTGGGATTATGAACTTATTATTGTATAATCCCATATAGTCATCGTTTATCTTGAAGGTTTGAGGATTTATGAAACCTGATAATTTCTCCCCCAATGTGAGCTAATAGTTAATGAAGATTTTGAAAACTCGCCCAGTGAGAGTTAATAGCTAATGAACGTAGTGATCTTCGCATTTACAAAACGGCAGACAAGGTGATATTTGAAATGAAAACCGCCTTTGCTTCTAGTAAAATCCCGTCTAAACGGCTCAAACAGACCCAGAAACACAGGTAAATAACAGTGCATTTATTTTACATGAATGTAAATGATTATGTCATTGCTGATACTGTGTTCGGGTCTCCTGTGCTTTGGGTGAGCGAGAGGATTTTCATGGATAGTTATCTTAAAACTTTTAAATCAGTATCTGCTTTTAAATTTAACATGAAACGTAAACTGGTGAAGAATTTTATAGATTCTTAAATATTAGTGTAAATAATTTTTTAGGGTCGTTAAAGTAGATTTTTATTGCTGCCAACTTATTTTTATTGTTGTACTTATTTAAATTTAAGTTGTTGTCTTTGAAAAGCCTCTTAGGGGAAAGTCAATAAAGTATGTATGCGTATACGTATGCATTTAATTAAAATTGCCTACAGGCAAAAATTTAAGCTTGTCCTTTGTTTTTAAAGCGGTGATGCGAGGAATAAAATCCCAACTTGCGGTGCTGGGGTGATCTCAAACCCTTCGGTGTGCTATGTTTGTGTTTTTCACGCTATGGTGTTCGGTGAAATAAAGTTATTTGCGGTGCTGTGGTTGCTTGTTTGACCTTTCTCAGACCTAAATTTAGCATCCAAACTTCGTTAATCCATGCTAATTTATGACAAGCATGTACCATTGTTTTTACCAAAATACATATATCTCATTAGATGTTTTGGTGTGTAGTATCGCTGTATATTTTTACGAGTTGTGCCGTAAAAAATATAAAGCGATATTACACACCAAAACATCTAATAAGAGATTTATTATTCAACTGCTGTAGTCAATAAATTTATCAATGAAAGAGGGAGAGTGTGACAGTTTTGCGTGCGCGCACCGACCTGTACGGGAAACAGGTTTTCTACTGTACAAATAACTGTACAATATCGCTATATATTTGTACGGTTATTTGGACGGTATTAGCTGCAATTGGATAATAATGGCTCATATACCCAGATGCCTAAGCCAATGGAAACTCTTAAATTGCAATATCCAATGATCCAGTATTTAATAAGTGGGATTAACTTCCTTATCCTTCATCTTCCTATGTTTTGAAATTAGGTTGATTCTAAGTGAGAAGCTGACTGTGAAAGACGTTTAGTACAGTATGTCACGAAACTTCCTGTCCCTCCTATGCCCTTTGACTGTCTTCAAATTCGTCTTTAAATGCGGTGCACTCTGCTTCAAAATTAAGTTGAAAAAGAAACAAAACCAAACACAGTTGTTACACCTCGCAACTCAAATAAGTTTTCCGATTGGAGGAGAACGTGTCACGTGTCGTGGGTCAAAACTCACTAACTCCCTTGGGCGAACAAACCTCACTAACTCGTCTAACTCCCTAGGGAAACAACAACTTGAGCTTTCGGCTTGCACGTGATCAGGTCGTGCTCCTTGAAACCACGGCAAATTTGTGAACCAGCCGGCGTCAAGCCAACGATTTATTCGCAGCATTTTTCTATTTTTGAGTTGGGAGGTATAACAAATTCGACAAAACACTGAATGACAGTCTTGCCTCGCGGGAAACAGTGAGTTTTGTTTTCCCTCGACCACAATGTTCCCCTCGGCTTCGCCTCGGTGAACACTGAGGGTCTCAAAAAAACAAAACTCACTGTTTCCATTGGGGTCAGTAATTTTAAAACATTGCTGGAGAGATGCCGATAAAACAATAAAGTGCTTATTGTTTTAAAATTGTTACGGTATCACTCGACCGACAGAAAATATACACTGCGAAACTCTTCAACAGACCCAACTTATTTATTTCACGATACGTAGTGAAATCCTAGTTGCAGAGGAGCGACCTCTTAGCAGAGGGTTTCTTCATAGCTGTGTAATCTATCATCAAAATAACCTACCACTAAAACTTCAGTCACCACTGACTCAAACCCACAGTAAACGCCGATGTCTCCGAAGAAGTCTCCTCTCAATCCACAAGACTTTAAATGAAGTTCCTTAATAGCTCGTCGCTCCTTCGTGAACGTTCTTGGAACCTCTAACACAACTGTTCATGTAGCATTACATCGTAATTATATCATTTAGTAGAATGTTCTAAACTGTTTCGTAATGTGACGGTAGAAGGTTCTGGTGCAAATATTGCGTGACTAAACATTACCTAGACTAGAAATTACCAGAAACTTAGTATTTACAATTGCTCTCCATAGCAAAATGTACTGCCCGTATTGAAACGGCGCCTTCAGTACGATTGGCCCATGATGTCGATTTCTTGTCGCTCAGTGTAGAAGTCACGTTTTACTGTAACATGATTATTTACAATATTTATAATTGTGATTTATTTAGCCTATCAAAGTGCGTTCGGTTAGTTGAAAATTTTGTACAACAAAATGCTGGACGAGGGCGGTGCGTCCCCGATCCATTTCCTATTCTGTTTTTTTCTCAACGCTGCTCCCTAACTAACAGAGCGCCTGAAACAGGTTATGCATTATGGTGAATCATTAAACCAGTCAGTATCCTTATTGTAGCCATGATAAAGACTCGAAAATTGCCCGTACTCTTTACGAAGTCATTCTTAACTTATTTTAGTTTTTATCTTTATATTATGTTATTTAGACAGGACCCCTTTGATAACAGTACTCTTACACTGAACGGCTATCCTGTATAAATATTCGTTATTATTATTTACAAGAGAAAATGAGGGTCAGAGAGGGAGGCTCCCAGTCCAGGCCTTGGGATATGTCAATTTCGCTAAAGTTATTTTAGGGTCGCCGAAAACAGCGGGAGTGCATTTCCTTTTACGTCCACATGATACCATTATTCTTTAGGCGATCAGGATATTAAGAAACGGCGGTCCACGGGGAAATTCACTTTGTCGATAGAAGCGCCTTTTACGGACACATTAGAGACAGATGGTATTTCTGGCTGGATAAATCGAGGTGGGAGATATATTTTTACATCTCCTTGGGAATAAAATGGCACATGCAGACGGGCGGAAATGCAGTTCTGAGTGGTCAACAAAACGTTCCGGCGGAACATGTAATAAAGTTCGTGGCTGCTGCTATGGACTATGCACTGTGGCTTTTTCAAAAGGAGTTTACAAGCCGATGGACTTCGACATTGATGTTGGCAATGACAATGAGATTTTCTCCTCACACTGAAGAGAGAAAGCTTTCATTAGTGCAAATTAACCGAAGGTGAAGAAAACGTGGCATATATGAACATGATCAAACGAAGATGACACCTCCGTTTTTTCTGGTTTTCTCTGTTGGAAAAGCAGTCAGAAGAAGTTGTCCCTTTCGCTCAGTTCAGTGTACTTTAGTTGCTGGTTCAAAATCATTTTTTGTCGCTTGCATGCGAGTTATTTTGTCGTTGAACAGAAAATTGTTTCTGTCGCTGATCACTACCGCGCTGTGAGTTGTTCTGTTTCTCTGTGAATTCAAAATTATTTCTGCCCGCGTTTCTTTCGGCTATCGCTTCGCTTCGAGCTACAGGAGTTGTTTTGTCGCTGTATCAGTATTCACAACTAGTTCTGTTGCTACATTCCCATGATCGCCATGCTTCTAGTTGTTTAATCGCTCAGGCCGGCATTCAAAATTATTTCTCTCGCTGAGCGCTACTCCAAGGTATTTTTTGTTGTATTCAAAATTATTTCTGTCACTGGTCGTCCTACCTCGAGCCGTTTTGTTGCTGGAGTTCAAGTTATTTCTGTCGCAGGTCGCTTCACAGCGAGCTATCTTCAATTTGTCACTGTACCGCTATTCAACATTATTTCTGTCGCTGATCACTTCGCTCTGAGCTGTTGTTTTGTTGAGTTATTTTCTAGGCTGATCGCTACACTCCGAGTTGTTTTATCCGCGCTGTTGAGGTTCAAATAGACTGTTGTCGCATGGTTGGGACTTGCTTCGTTGTGGTATAGTATTCAAGTTGATTTCTGTCGCTAATCGGTAGGCTCCGAGTGTTTTTGGTTCCTGGATTCAAAATATTTTAGCTACCCTCCGAATTGTTTTCCAGCTCGGCCAGAATTATATTCTCCTGTCGCTGGGTTGAGAGTAATTTTGTCGCTGGGTTCAAAAATAGTTTTGCCGTGGGAACCAAAATAGTTTTCTTCGGTGGGCTAAGATTTCATTCGTCGATGCGTTTAGAGGTATCAGGATCGCTACAGCTTGAAACAGTATTCCATGTTATATATGTTTTCAATATCGAACAACACGATACTTGTCTGCATGTTGTTATACAAATGAAAGCAAATAAATTCTTTCTTGTTGTCATCGCTGATTTCTTTGATTCAAATGCTCAGGGGAAAAACTTTGATATTTCTTTCACCCAGCGTTTTTATTCTAGATAGGTTGTGGTTCTTTATAGCGCTTCTACTGACAAAACGTATTTCCACGCAGACCGTCCTTTAAAAATTCCCTGATCAACGGGTGAAAGGTATCATGCGGACGTCTGGGGAAATAGACTTCCGTTTCCGTCTAAAACTAAAAATAACTTTAGTGGAATCGACATATCCGGCCAACGCCCTCAGTGTCCCTCTCTGTCCCCTCATTTTCTCTTGGTTGGACTCATGCGAGTAACAAAAAAAAAAAAAAAAAAAAAAAAAAATGAGCCTGCTAATAACTAAACACACAATCAAAGAATAATATGGATTTTCATCTGTTCAATTCCGGAAATGTAGTGGCTTGCTGTGTCAAGAGAGCATTTCTTTTCTTTCTTTCTTTCTTTCTTTTTTTTTTTTTTAAGAAAGTACAAGTTTACAAGAGAAATGAAACCAGTAGCCAAGAATTATCTTTTTTTTAGTTATTTCATGTACAAATATGATTCCTATGCTAACAACTTACATGCCGCACTATACACGAAAAAACAACAACAACAACAACAACAAAACACTAGCTAAGCGCGCCTTTGGAGTTTCGGCGCTATTTGTGGTTCCCAGAGCCACCCGTCCCTCTTAGCCGGTGCGGCCTGGGCAACTTTAAAAGGCGGCTCTGAAGGCATAAGATTTGACTGGCTAGATTCGTTGAAAAATATTTCCCCATTTAATTGGCAGTCGCCTTGCCAAAAATATGCACTGGTTGATTTTAAGGTTAAACCGGCCGATTAGAGCACCTAAAGAGTGAGACCTTAAATTCTGGCGAAAGACGCGTTCATGTTTTTCTTTTTAAACTTTTAGAGGGCTTCTCTGAAAATTAACAGTTATCCCTATTAAAAAGTTTTCCCTGTGGGTGTTTTAGTCGAACGATTTTAAGGAGAATTCAACCAGTCGGGAACAAGCGGGAATTTAGTGACAATCTTGTTCTAAGAATCGCCAATCAAATTATGTTTTTAAGAACCACTCAAGGCTGCACCGGTTATAATAAACAGGGAACACTACAGTTCTGCGGACCAGAACGTGTTGGTGTCTGGTTAAACGTGAGTTATCCGGGAAAAAACAAAAACAAAAACAAAAACAAACAAAAAAATAGAGATTCGTTAATAAAATGATCCAAAGGTATCGAAAAGTTCTCAAAAAGATCGATGCAACAGAGAATGGATTGAAATTGACTAAAAGGAAGAAAATCGAACGAAAACATTGTGACTATTATAAGAACATATCTGCAGGAGGACAAATCGAGCCAGACTCAAGTAAAAACCTACAGCACCAAAAAACACCGATAAAACAAATAAAACCGTTCTTTCTCTTTGATGTCAGGTTTCATGAGCCAGGCCAGTTTTCACGGCTCAAGTAAAACCCTAGACCAATCAAACTAGTAAAATCCTTCTTTCTCTTTAAGTTCACGAGCCAAGTAAGAACTATTTATACCTCTCGTAGATTTGAACCAATAAATGGTCCGTCCGCAGAGGGTCAAAGAAGAGCACAACAGGATTTTGCGTTTGTAACTTTGCTTGTCTTTCTTATCTACTTCTCTCAGGTTTTCAGTGGAAGTCAATTGAAATTGAGAAATGGAAGATACTCCCGTACGGAATCCAAAAAACCAGGCAAGTTTTTTCTCGCAGTTGACTGTCTCCTGGATAAACGATGTTCTCAAACTCGGAAGTAAACAACCATTAGAAGAGAAACATTTGTTTTCAGTGGAAACGTCCAATCAAGCAGAAAGGTTGGTGGCTGACTTGGAGAGGGAATGGCTGGCAGAAGAAAGAGCGTCTGAACAGAACCGAACAAAGCCTCGCCTGTGGAGGGCCATGATAAGAGTTATTCCCTGCAGAGACTATGTCACTGTAGCGTTCTTCAGGATATTTTATTTAATAGCTTTTAACCTTTTTCCTTTGATTGTGTGGTTCTTCTTGAAAAGCATTTCTACTTCTACAGAAATAAGTTACAAGTCCACGCTGCCTATTGTTATTGGTATTTCACTCGTTGCCTTTATAAGAACTTCATGCTCAAAGCATGGGGCATTCAAGATGGATATGATATCGACGAAACTGAAAGTAGCCATGACTGGACTAGTGTATAAAAAGGTAAGTAATTTTCATCAGAAATCTGGCTCTAATAGGGCGTAACACGAAAAGAAAAGTTCTCATTTGTACACGATATATGCACATGACATGGTAATTTCCAAACCTAGGATATTATCCTTTTTTAACAATCCCAAAGCGGTAATATTGACGAATGAGCATGGGAACAAAATGCAAACTGTCGCCCACGTTATCAGTGTTAAGTCATCTCGACGGTATCGTCAGCTTAAAGCGGTTTTCACCTAAGCGTTGAAAGTAATGTATTTGCTTTGGTTTTGCATTACCACGTTAAGCAATTGGCTTAAAAAACTGGCCACACTACGTCAGCAAGTCAGAGTTAAAACTGAAACAAATCATAGCTCGGTCGCAACGTTTTCCCGCGCTTTGCGTCGGTGACAAGTATTTTTTTCTGTGTCATTAGTGATTGGTCAGAGTGATTACTTTGGTTTTGTCTTAACGACACTCAATCGAAAACTGCTGCAACGTCTTATTATATAACGAGACATATTAATTTTCTCCTTATTTTTCAGATTCTTACCTTAAATAGAAGTACTTTAGAAGACACCATTTCAGAAAACACTATAAATCTTGTTTCCAACGATGCTCAAGCTATTGAGAAAATGGGTTATGCCACTTTTTTACTTCCATTTGTTCCACTGGACATTGTTGCTTCCATGGTTCTTGTTTGGTACTTAGTTGCATGGCAAGCCTTAATAGGAGCTTCTTTCTTCCTTCTTGTTGTTGCCTATGGATCATTTGCAGCTCACAAGGCTGGCAAGGTACGCCACCAATCAGCTGCAGTGACCGACAAACGATTGGAGATAATGAAAGAGATCATTACAGGAATCCGCGTGGTTAAGATGTACGCCTGGGAATGGAACTTCAGAGACCTTGTTGCCCAAATAAGAAGGTTGGTATCTAATATATTGGTGTCTTTCCAATCAGTTAGGTTACACGCCCGCTAATAGCCTTTTATCATCCATGACCGAATGGTCAACGTGGCTCATCTGGGTTTACTATTGTCCACGCTTTCTAAGAGCATATTCAACTCGGCCACGCCTCGTTGGCTATTTCACAATTATCCCACGAGCGCGCGTTGGATGTGAGATGGTAGATAGCAAGCAAAGCGCATGGCGCCGAGTTGGCTTTAATCATCGCATATCTAACAGGCACCAGTGGAATAATTGCTTTTTTAAAAACGCCCCCAAAATATAGCAAACACACAACTAAATAATAAATAAAAAAGGCTCCAAAAACCGCGCGTACACTTACCGTATTTGTAGAGCATGGTATAATGGCTCAATACCCATGATGGTTAAGCCAATGAAAACTCTCGAATTGCATTATCCAAATGATCCAGATTTCAAAAATCATTAATAGACCAGTTAAAGTTATTATTAGCACAACGCGTTTCAATTTTCGCTTTGACAGAAAGGAAATCTCACTGATTCGTATCCGAGGGTTCCTTGTCTCCAGTATCTACGCCCTGTTCTTCTCTAGCTCAGCCATGGCAGGATTTATTTCAGTCACATCTCTGCTTTTTACAGATGCTTCGCTGACGTCGTTTAAAGTCTTTACATTGCTTACCCTTTTAACTAACATAAAGATGGTAATCACGATCTCTATAGCAGATTCATTACGCTACATTGCCGATGCAAGAACTGCATGCAGTAGGATGCAGAACTTAATAGAAACGAAATCCATGTTAAGACGCAAAATGGATTACCAAGAATATCGTTCTAATTTAGAGGTTTACGTCAAAGGTAGAAAGTATAAACCCCAATTTATTAGAATTGAAAGCTTTCGAAATGGAAAACCGGCATTGCTTAGTGCTCAGAAACTGGAACAAGCAGGTCAGGACATCAATCCACTGGTATCTCTTGAGAATGTTACATGTGTTTGGAGCCATACGTCAGAGCTTCCTACTTTAGATAATGTGTCGTTGAATGCTACTAATGGACAACTTGTGGGCATAACAGGGCCAGTTGGAAGCGGCAAAACATCATTGCTGATGACCATCTTGGGTGAAATCCCAATCTCCTCTGGTAAAATGTCTTTTATTGGAAAAATGGCTTTTGTCTCCCAAACGCCATGGGTCTATTCTGGTACTGTGCGAGACAACATCGTTTTTGGCAAAGAGTTCCATGAGCAAAAGTACAATAAGGTTATCAAAGTTTGTGACTTGGAGAAAGATATCGCAAGCTTTACGAAACGTGATCTAACTGAGATTGGACAACGTGGAGTGATCCTAAGTGGTGGTCAGCGAGCACGTGTCAGTCTGGCACGCGCAATCTACTCAGATGCAGACATCTACCTATTGGATGATCCACTCAGTGCAGTGGATGCCAAAGTTGGTAGACATTTGTTTGATAGATGCATCAAAGAGTTCTTAGACGGGCGCATGCGTATTCTGGTCACTCATCAGTTACAGTTTCTGAAAGAAACAGACAGCGTTGTCATTCTTCGGAATGGCTCCGTTGTTTGTCATGGAACCTACAGTGGAATAGAGCAATACAGACAAGCGGCGTCCTGTTTTCTTCCTCAACAACAGCAAGATTTCGATGGCGAGGATAAAAATAGAGAGGATGTTTCAGTTTTTAGTGATGAGGCTTCCGAATCAATGAATTCCGCTATAGAACATCGTGACAGGATGGATCTGAAAGATGAAGAAGAGGAGAGAATGGTTGGAAGCGTTAAGTGGTGGCTGTACTGGAAGTACTTTAGAGCTACACTCCCAAAGATTCTGATAATTAGTCTCATCATTTTCTTCGCTATTGGTTAGGGTAGGTAGTCATTTTTAGTGCACGATTTTTTGGTATTTCAAGGGTATGCAAATGTCGCATAATGAGTAACGAAGTCCTCTTAAATAGATATTAGTATAAGGATATTAGGGAAATAAGCTTGGTCAATAACCCAAATGTATTGTGGCTTTTCCTTCTTCAGTGTTCTTGATTGCGCCTTCTTGGTGGCTATCACGGATGACTGAGATGCCATTCAATCAACAGAAGAGCTACCCAACGCTTTTGGTGTACGGATCCATTGTTACGGGCTCCTTACTTCTTACGACAATTTCCTCCTTCTGTTTCTACCTCGCTGCTCTAAAAGCTTCAGAAAACCTTCATGACCAGATGACAAAAGCAGTTATGAATGCACCAGTCCTATTCTTTGACACGAATCCAGTTGGTCGTATCTTAAACCGATTCTCCAAAGATGTTGGTTGCATGGACGATATCCTTCCAGGACAGTTTCTGTTTGCAATTCAGTTGTGCCTGTACTTTTTCACTGCTGCCATACTTTCAGCAGTAGTAAATGTTTGGCTTTTTATCACTTGTGCTCCGTTGACAGTGCTGTTTATTTACCTCGCCAAATATTATTTGATATCCGCTCGGGAGATCAGGCGACTTGAGGCGATAACATGCAGTCCAGTGTATTCCCTCATTGCTGACACTGTGGCAGGATTGGAAGTAATTCGATCATTAGAGATGGAGAACGATTTTCTTCAAAAATTTTACAAGTAAGTGTCCTTATATTCTCACATGTCTAAATTAAATGACGTTGTGAGCTGACCACTTTGAGGTAGCCTATAAGGAGGTAAGGCTTATATTTTATGGTTCAGGGGTAGATATATAACACCATTGTAACGTTAACGTGAAAACTCGAAGTGAACCCAATAACACTAAGCCTCTTGTTTTTCATTTCCTTGGAGATATCAAGACAAAAACACAGCAGCTCTGTTTTTATTGAAGGCCGCTACACGTTGGCTTGCGTTTCGAGGAGACCTTTTGAGTAACTTTCTTGTGATTTCCGTGTCAGCTGGAGCTTCGTTAGCAACACAAAATCCTGGTAAGTTCATCATATGACAGACTGAATCAATTGCCTTGGCCACCATTTACGCATGCACCAACCAGCGTCAGTGCACAAAACGTAAGATGTAAGATGGATTTACATGTATCTTGAAACGTAAGGAAATGTTAAATAGTCTGTTCGAACTTTCGTTGCTTCCAACTTTCGCTTAGATTTAACCGACTGACAATGAAATTTCTCCACGAATTTTCCTTACTTCGAAATTTCATTTCATTCAGCGAATTTTCAGTGTACTATGTTTTCACGTGACCGTGAAACTATTCCTTTAATTGCACAGATTTCAAGACGACCCTGGTGTCGTATTTAATGTTTTAATTGTGTAAATAAAGATTAACTGGCCATCAAATTGTTTTAGAGGGGGTATCCGATATGCATGAACCTCGTTTAGGTGCCATCTAATAATATTGGTGACAGAATGTGATGTTTTCGTCGACTGGAATCCCAAGAAGAACAGCAACACCCCTAGTCATCTTACTCCACATGTGTAAGCGAGAAACAAATTTGAAGTTATCATAAAACTTAGCGTCGCTTTCTTCATTTCCATCTCCACTAGTTGAACGTGGATAGCAGACATTCTTAGGATTTATTGTAATATGAAAGAAGACATTATTCATTTTGTTTCTAGCTTTGGCAGGTATGTCGCTCAGTTTTGCAGCCGAGACTTTAGATGCCTCACAATATGGCATCCGTATGGCTTCGGAAACAGAAAATCACATGACCTCAGTAGAGAGGGTGTTCACGTACACCGAAATTGAGCCAGAGCCTGGGTACGGCACTGAAGCCCTTCCACCTAAAGAGTGGCCGACAACGGGCAGCTTGACTTTACGTGACTTGTCGTTGAGCTATTTGAAAGGAGCACCGGCAATTTTGAACAACATAAGCGTCTGTATCGCTGATAAGGAGAAGGTTGGTGTTGCTGGTCGCACTGGTGCTGGGAAATCATCTTTAGTGACGGCTTTGTTCCGAATGCCAGAACCTGAAGGAGAGGTACTGATAGTTACTTCGAGTTTTAGTTCTGTGATTTTTAGCGGATGAAACATGAGTTTTAGTTTCACTGAGCCGCAGTGTTTAGAAAATACCAATAAAGATCTTGGGAGAAGAAGAAGTGATCAATGAGTGAATCAATAAGCAACTGATTTGGAGACCGTTCCTATGTTGTCATCTCGTACTTATTTTATGAAGATATGATTGATCATCGCAACAATACACACAACTTAAACAGTTGTACAAATTAAAGACTCCAGCCTCAATTTACGGGTATATAAAAAACTCACAATGTTACCAGCTCCCAGTTGGCTTGATAGCTCAGTTGGTAGAGCAGTGCACCGGTATCACGGAGGTCGTGGGTTCAATTCCCATTTAAGCCTGAATTTTTTTCAGGCCTTAATTTCACAACTGCTCAAGTTGTGTGCATTACTGCGATGATCAATCATATCTTTCTACGCAGTTCAAATATGTCATCTTTTATATTATTATATTCACTCTAATTAGTTATTGCGTGGTAGAGCAATATCTTCCGGAGTGATTGACAATTCGACACGATTCTTCATTCACTATATCCAGGTCATTATAGATGGTGTGAACATCAAGGATCTCAATCTTCAGGCGTCTCGCAGGTCCATGGCCGTAATAACCCAGGATCCTGTCCTCTTCAGCGGCAGCCTCAGGAAGAACCTAGACCCTTTCTCTTTGTATCATGATCATGATTTGTGGCGTGCATTGGAAGATGTGCAGCTGAAGACCCTGGTACAACAATTTCCTGACCAGCTTGATTACAAGTTGAGAGAGTCCGGGAGCAACTTCAGTGTCGGAGAGCGCCAATTAGTTTGTTTAGCGCGGGCGCTGTTACAAAGAAGCAAGATCATCATTCTGGACGAAGCCACTGCTAATGTGGATTTCAAGACAGACAGACTGATTCAAGAAGTTATACGCAACAGATTTAAAGATTCCACAGTAGTAACCATCGCTCATCGCTTGAACACCATCATGGACTATGATAAAGTGTTGGTTATGGAGCAGGGACGAGTGGTTGAGTTTGACAAACCTGAAGTTTTGCTTCAAAATAAGAATGGATTCTTGGCTCGTCTTGTTCAGGCTTCTAACTCAGCTTGCCCTTAAAACAGTAGTCTTTAAACCTGCTAAGACTGGAAGAAAACGTTAGGGAATTTATTTCAAGATACAAAACAAGGTCAGGCTTGGGTTAATACCCCGTATAACCCTTATACCTAAAGTAAGGTTTAATTCTGCCGGCGTCAAGGTAACTTTCGCGAGAGCTATCTCAACCTTTTAGTTTTATGACCGGACTGAACCCCAGAAATTCGTCGTTCTCGCTAGAACTACCTCCGCAAAACAATTTTTCCTCCGCTGTGATTGTGTAGTTAAGACTGCAAACGAGCTTGGAGATTTTTGTTTCAGGACGCGTGGTTCACCATTTTTTGGTCTAATTGTATCCTCCACGTCTTACTCACGCAACGCGTGAGTAACATCCGCGGAAGAACTCGGTATCATGTCTAAAAATAACTTAAGAGGGATTACCTTGGGTATAAGGCTTAGATAGGGGTTTTACACTTTACCTTGATATTTTGTTGCAAGATCTTATCAGCAGTAAACTAAGTATCTTTTGCAGGCTAGAGGTAACTATAGCAAAAGGTACTGAAAAATATCTTCAACAAACGTGAACGAACGGCTGAGTCATCCAAGAGTTTTAAGGATTAACTTAATCTAAGGTTCTAGAAAATGATTCAGGGTGAATCCTAGAAATGCGTCAGGGGTTCAATTTTCTCTGTATGGGATATGTTTTTTTTTTTCTGACACCAATCTGCGTAAACAACTATTTTGAGGCTTAAAAAGTTGAATTGTTTAAATAAATTGATCTCATAAGCATTTTGCTTATTGGGTTTGTTAGATTTGAGACAAAGCAATGGTTTCCTACCTTGAAATAATTTTAATACTAATTTTGTGTTCGGTTTAGTCTCCCTCGACTGCGGACTGAGAGTCAATTTCTAAAAAAGAAACGACTTTTTCTTTCTTGTTCCTGCTTCTCGTACCTGTTCACAGTCTCGAGAAGACTTTTTTTATACCTTATCTTTCGCCCAGTCACGTAAAATATTATGTAAATTCTGAAATTNTATGGATCATTTGCAGCTCATAAGGCTGGCAAGGTACGCCACCAATCAGCTGCAGTGACCGACAAACGATTGGAGATAATGAAAGAGATCATTACAGGAATCCGCGTGGTTAAGATGTACGCCTGGGAATGGAACTTCAGAGACCTTGTTGCCCAAATAAGAAGGTTGGTATCTAATATATTGGTGTCTTTCCAATCAGTTAGGTTACACGCCCGCTAATAGCCTTTTATCATCCATGACCGAATGGTCAACGTGGCTCATCTGGGTTTACTATTGTCCACGCTTTCTAAGAGCATATTCAACTCGGCCACGCCTCGTTGGCTATTTCACAATTATCCCACGAGCGCGCGTTGGATGTGAGATGGTAGATAGCAAGCAAAGCGCATGGCGCCGAGTTGGCTTTAATCATCGCATATCTAACAGGCACCAGTGGAATAATTGCTTTTTTAAAAACGCCCCCAAAATATAGCAAACACACAACTAAATAATAAATAAAAAAGGCTCCAAAAACCGCGCGTACACTTACCGTATTTGTAGAGCATGGTATAATGGCTCAATACCCATGATGGTTAAGCCAATGAAAACTCTCGAATTGCATTATCCAAATGATCCAGATTTCAAAAATCATTAATAGACCAGTTAAAGTTATTATTAGCACAACGCGTTTCAATTTTCGCTTTGACAGAAAGGAAATCTCACTGATTCGTATCCGAGGGTTCCTTGTCTCCAGTATCTACGCCCTGTTCTTCTCTAGCTCAGCCATGGCAGGATTTATTTCAGTCACATCTCTGCTTTTTACAGATGCTTCGCTGACGTCGTTTAAAGTCTTTACATTGCTTACCCTTTTAACTAACATAAAGATGGTAATCACGATCTCTATAGCAGATTCATTACGCTACATTGCCGATGCAAGAACTGCATGCAGTAGGATGCAGAACTTAATAGAAACGAAATCCATGTTAAGACGCAAAATGGATTACCAAGAATATCGTTCTAATTTAGAGGTTTACGTCAAAGGTAGAAAGTATAAACCCCAATTTATTAGAATTGAAAGCTTTCGAAATGGAAAACCGGCATTGCTTAGTGCTCAGAAACTGGAACAAGCAGGTCAGGACATCAATCCACTGGTATCTCTTGAGAATGTTACATGTGTTTGGAGCCATACGTCAGAGCTTCCTACTTTAGATAATGTGTCGTTGAATGCTACTAATGGACAACTTGTGGGCATAACAGGGCCAGTTGGAAGCGGCAAAACATCATTGCTGATGACCATCTTGGGTGAAATCCCAATCTCCTCTGGTAAAATGTCTTTTATTGGAAAAATGGCTTTTGTCTCCCAAACGCCATGGGTCTATTCTGGTACTGTGCGAGACAACATCGTTTTTGGTAAAGAGTTCCATGAGCAAAAGTACAATAAGGTTATCGAAGTCTGTGCCTTGAAGAAAGATATAGCAAGCTTTACGAAACGTGATCTAACTGAGATTGGACAACGTGGAGTGATCCTAAGTGGTGGTCAGCGTGCACGAGTTAGTCTGGCACGCGCAATCTACTCAGATGCGCACATCTACTTACTGGATGATCCACTTAGTGCAGTGGATGCCAAAGTTGGTAAATATTTGTTTGATAGATGCATTAAGGATTTCTTAGACGGGCGGATACGTATTCTCGTCACACATCAGTTACAGTTTCTGAAAGAAACAGACAGCATTGTTGTTCTTCGGAATGGCTCCGTTGTCTGTGAAGGAACATACAGTCGTATAGAAAAGGACAAGCAAGTTGCTTGTTGCTTTGTATCTCAAGAAAAAAAAGATTTCAATGGCGAGCAAAACAATAACGAGAGATTTTCGGCATTTATTGAAGATACCTTGAAATCGATGAATTCCGCTAAAGAACACCATGACAGGGTAGATCTGGAAGATGAAACGGAGGACAGAATGGTTGGCACCATTAAGTGGTGGTTGTACTGGAAATACTTAAGAGCTGCACTCCCAATGATCCTGATTGTTGGTCTTGCGGTTTTCTTCGCAATTGTTCAGGGTAAGCAGTAAACTTTAGTGTGTGCCATTCCCTGCATTTCGAGGTTATAAAAAAATGTAATGTGCTATGTATTAAGTCTAGTACCACAGTGTGAGGAGCTCTCCTACTCAACGTGAGAAGTTGCCGCGAGCACTGTTTAATTATTCATAATAATATCATGGGTGACAAATTACTCCTTAATTTTGGCGCGAAATTTCAGCGTTAATTCATAATTTCACATGTGAAATTACAAAATTGTCATGGCAACATCTCTTGTATCTCGATCAGTGCCAAGATGGCGTCGAGATTAAGACGGTGACCATTGAAGAAGTTACGGAATTAAAAGAAGCGGTAGAAAACTTAAATACGTGAAAGAGCACAATTAACTGGGTGAGGATTTTTGAGAAGTGGTGAGACGAAAATAGACTTGAGAGAAACCTAGAGATGAATCTTCCTGAGCAGTTGGATAGCTGAAGTACTCGAGCGGTTTTACGCCTTCGTGTGTAAACAAGACGGAACCGATTACGGACCTGGGTCCCTAAAACTGATTATCTAACCACTCAGTCCGGAAAACGGTGGTCAGAAAGCTGAAGGCCAAGGGAGTTCAAAACTCAGTAGCCACGTTTACAATTTCCACAACTGTAATGTGGTGATAAACCAAGGACATGCCGGGCAGGCTAACGCTTCGTGCACAAGAAGCCGCGATGTATAATTTTTCCGCAACCATGCTCTGCTCTGAAGGTTTTTCAACTTTGTGCATTTTCGCTTGACTTTCATTTGGGCAAGTTTTCTTAGACCATAAAGTAAATTTTTAGTGATAATTTCACTTCAAAACGAACTGTCAAAACTTTATATGGCCTCGCGCAAAATTT